TTAGCTCTTCAGAGCAGCCAGACTTAAAGGTTGAAATATTTCTGGTGCTGCTCTTGGTGCATCTCAGCAGCTGAGTCACACTGAAGCACCGTTCCTCAGGCTATTAATTCTCATCACACTTTTCCCCATTTTAAAACTAGTGGATGTGAGTGTCTTACACCTGTCTACGAACCATGTAATGTAGAAAATGACAGTGTTGTACAAGAACTACACCAAGCTCATTAAATACTTTTATTTTTGTAAGCCAAGACTTACCCAGTCAGCAGTGACTGCTGTGTCAGAACACATCACACCTCTCCCCAGGCTGTGCTCAGTCCATGTTCAGCCTCTCCAGGATTCTCCATGTGGCAGCTCAATGATGCCAGCACTGTCCCTCTAGTCAGATTACACAGTCAACACTTGACACACTTTTGTCTCCAGTGTTTACATAGAATCTTCAAGTTGTTGTAAGCCACACTTTTTAAGAAGTGCTTTATAAAAATAAACTAATGATCTGAAGAAGGTCCCAAAGAACAGCAGCTCAACTTAAAGTCGAGGATTCTTTTCGTATGTTTCATAGGCAAATTCTTCTGTGTGAGCTCTATCGTTTATCAGGCCAATAAAATCAATCTCCAGCTGGAACGGACCATCTACTTTATCTCCGATTGTGAATCCAAGGGTACGAATCTAATTAAAAGATAGATACGTTAGAACAATATTTATAAATAATGCAGTCAAACACAATTGTATCTGCTGGTTCCATGTTTTACAAACAGTTCATGGCTGTCACTTGTTTGTAGGTTTAGATTAGACATTAGGAAGAAGTTCTTCCCTGTGAGGGTGGTCAGACACTGGAACAGGTTGCCCAGAGAAGTTGTAGATGCCCTCTCCCTGGAAGTGTTCAAGGCCAGGTTGGATGAGGCTTTGAGCAACCTGGTCTAGTGGAAGGTGTCCCTGCTGATGGTAGGGGGGTTGGAACTGGATGATCTTTAAGGTCCCTTCCAACCCAAACCTTCTATGATTCTATGATTATTTGTCAAGGCTTGAATGTTTCACCACCACATGTTCAATACTGACCCCAGTGGGAAACTGCTTCACGTCTGCCTGTACCGCTGCACTGAGCCCTTCAGTAAAACAGCCTGAGCCTAAAGCAGCACTGCAACTTTTCATAGAACCACAGAATAGTTTGGTTGGAAAAAAACATTACAATCATCTAGTCCAACTGTAAACCCAGCATTGCCAAGTTCTCCACTAAAGCATGTCCCCAAGTGTCACATCTACATGTCCTTTAAATCCCTCCAGGGATGGTGACTCCACCACTGCCCTGGGCAGCCTGTTCCAACACTTGACAACCCTTTCAGTAAGGAATTTTTCCCTAATATCCAACCTAAACCTCCCCTGGCACAACTTAAGGCTGTTCCCTCTTGTCCTGTCACTTGTTATTTGGGAGAAGAGACCAACCCCCCGCCTCATTACCACCTCTTCTCAGGTAGTTGTAGAGGGCAATAAGGTCTCCTCTCAGCCTCCTCCAGACTAAACAATCCCAGTTCTCTCAGCTGCTCCTCATCAGGCTTGTTCTCCACGCCCTTCACCAACTTCTTTGTCCTTCTTTGCACACGCTGCAGCAACTCAATGTCACTCTTGTAGTTGAGGGGCCCAGAACTGAACCCAGCACTCGAGCTACAGCCTCACCAGTGCTGCATCTTTTTATCCTTCAAGGTTTGCATAGAGCGTGTTTCATCATGACTGGGGGTACAGAATCACAGAATGTCGGGGATTGGAAGGGACCTCAAAAGATCATCCAGTCCAATCCCCCTGCCAGAGCAGGAACCTAAATGAGATCACACAGGAAGGTGTCCAGGCGGGTCTTGAATGTCTCCAGAGAAGGAGACTCCACACCCTCCCTGGGCAGCCTGTCCCAGGGCTCTGGCACCCTCACTGTAAAGAAGTTTCTTCTCAAGTTTAAGCAGAACCTCCTGTGTTCCAGCTCACACCCATTGCCCCTTGTCCTGTCATTGGGCATCACTGAGAAGAGCCTGGCTCCATCCTCCTGACATTCACCCTTAACATATTTATAAACATTAATGAGGTCTCCCCTCAGTCTCCTCTTCTCCAAGCTAAAGAGCCCCAGCTCCCTCAGCCTTTCCTCATCAGGGAGATGCTCCACTCCATCATTGCGTAAAAACGCATTTTCATAAAGTCTGTTACAATTCTTATGTGAGCAGGAAACACAAACAGAGCGGAGTTAAGGATGGAACTTTCACTCTAGACCAAGTCACACACCTGGCACAGTGTGAAAGTGCACCAAAGCAGACCTTTTCAGATGCATGAAACTGTTGCTGAGTTTTACACTAAGGCGAGGTTCTTAGCCACTGTTTCCCAATTAGAATGATGTTCCTAAATACAAGAACACCCCTCATTCCTTTCTCCAGATGTTCTCCCACACAACTATTTAAATTTTTTAAAAATAATTTTTATTCTAACAAATTCTGTGTGGCTCAGGCATGTTTCCTGTTAGCCTGGGGCTTGCCTGAAAGTTCTCTCAGCTTTCACATGTCACCAGTCACCTTTCAGAGACTCCAGTCTAGCAGCTCTCAAACCAGCTGGGTCACCAGTGGCTGACCACCTATTAAACTGCCCCTGGGCCCTGCTACAGGTGCAGGTCTGAGCTGTACCTGTGATTTTGAGGTCTGCTGTGCATGCAGGAAAATATTGCCTAGGATGTGTCAGATAAAGTTGAATAAATGTAGGCTGAGGCTAAAGATACATTGCAAATAGTAATAGAACGGAGCTGAGGTAATTATGGCTTTAAACTAGAAGAGGGGAGGTTTAGATGAGATATTAGGAAGAAATTCTTCACTGTGAGGGTGGTCAGACACTGGAACAGGCTGCCCAGAGAAGCTGTGGCTGCTCCTCCCTGGAAGTGTTCAAGGCCAGGTTGGATGAGGCTTTGAGCAACCTGGTCTAGTGGAAGGTGTCCCTGCTGATGGCAGGGGGGTTGGAACTGGATGATCTTTAAGATCCCTTCCAACCCAAACCCTTCTATGATTCTATAATTAACCACACTTGCCATTCCTCCTGGATCATTCCACTGTCTCAAACACTGCCTCTCCCTCAGAAGCACCCTCTACAACCAGCCCCTTGGCTTGCGGAGTCTGGAGAGTTCAAGTTCCATCTTTCTGGTTCGCACTGTCACAGATGAGCGCAGGAGTCACCTACACTCTGCTCTGAAGAACCCTTTGTACACCCGAGATAGGTACATTGGCTGTTTCCTGCCTTTTTATTCCCATTTAACTGCCATTCCTGGGAAAATGTATAGCAGTGCCATGAGGGACCTAAACATTTCATCAAGATTTCTTTAATTGCCTTTGCACCACTTCCTCTATTTTTAAAATACATCTGTAAAATTACACTTCATCTCATACGCAAGTGCGTTGTTTTCACTGTGAAATACTAAGCACAAGATAACAAGGAATGAAAACGAAGTGGAGGGTGCTTCAATCATGTATTGTTTTGACCCCTGAACTCCTGGTAAACATTTTTAAACGCCTTTATGTTTTCATTTACCATTTTGATTGACTGGATATTCCAAATCCTGATAAATTCTTCAGTGTCTGTATTTAAACACAGGCCTTTTATAACAACTTTCTTCCATACAGTGTATTTTTTTCTTGTAGTTGATCCACCTTCCTATCATTCATCCTTGCTTTCTACAGCCTCAGCTTCTTCTGTTTTAAAACAGATTGTTTTCATGCTGCCAACCACTGAACTGCCCTCAATTTTTTTCCTAGTTTTTGGTGGTTTTTGTTTGGTTGTTTGGTTTTTTTATTTTCTTTTTTTCATTAAGGCAATTAGGAATTAAATGCAACATTGCAGGTCACTTAACACTGATTCAAGTAATGAACTTTTTATTTTCTCCCCTTGTATGTTTCTAACATTGTTTTCCTTTTGGTAGTCACTGGGTATTAACCCCCCCTTGTATATTTCTAACGTTGTTTGTTTTCCTTTTGGTAGTCACTGGGTATTAAGATGCCCTCAATTACACACAGGAGAATCACACTGAAATTTAAAAGAAAAAAACAAACAATTTTTTTTCCCCCATGGCATCTCCTGTGAATCAGTGAAGTAGTCTACCTATTTGTAGAAACAAAATCAAAAATAATTAACACATTTACTTAATACTTAGACTAGAAAGCCTGAAAAAAAAAAGTCTATAAATACATCAGTTTACTGCTCACCATCAAGGTCACTGATATAGTATATCCTCAAATAAAATCACATGATATGATATTCCTTACAGTCTTCTGTCAGGAAGGAAGTTTATGATACTTACTTTTATTATTTTTGGCAGTACTGTGCCAACCAGCACTTTAAATTAAAAAAGAAAAAACAAAAAGGGGGGTTTTTTATTTGAAAAGACAAGTTGGGAGTTGTTTCTTGAGATCTAGATCTTTTAAAAATATTTTTGGAGCTACTTTGAAGTAATATATACTTTGAAGTAAACTGGCACTGCTATCACAAAGTAGGGTAATTTAACTGCAAAGGCAAGAAGCACACAAGTACCTTATAACAAAAAGAGGCCCTTCAATTTCAAAGTCACAAATATTAAAGGATTTGTAAATTATCTGTATCAAGACAATATATTCTTAAAGGAAATTTCAGACAGGTAAAGCCTATAGAAAACTTGCCTTGTCTAACCAGATAGGATGCTGGTCATCCTGGACTCTTCCCCGACTGGAGAGAAAGAATTTGGAGAAAGGAATCTGACAGAAACAAAACAAAACAAAAGCAGACATTAGTGTCACTAGTACATAAAATAAAAACTGAAGAAATAAAGAGCCTGCCTTAGTAACTGAACTAATAACTCTGCTACACCTGGTACCAGCACTAGTTGGGTCGTTCGAACTGGCACAGAGAAAGGGGTCACATCAGCCCTCTCATTAACCACCCGCAGGCAGCTCCAGCCCCACGCTGCTCTGTGGTGTCCGTGGGACTGTTCCCCAGTTAGGACATGACAAGAAGCTGCAGCACGGAAGGTGGCTGTTTACATCAAGAATATCTCCTTCCAGAAGCATGTAAACATAAAATATAGAAATTAATGAAAAGTCTAGCAACCATGTACGTTGACAGCTCGTCTGTACCCAAGCTATGTATTTCATACATAGTGCAAACTTCACAGCCAGACATCAATATTCCAGCAACAGCAGTCAATATTCCAGTAGCCAATATTCCATCAATATTCCAGCAAAGCAGTCCAGAATAATGTAAAAATGACTCTGAATGCATTGGGAGTAAGAAAGAGGAGGGGCTGTGATTCGAGATATGGAACAGGAGGATTGGCTGGTGTGGGTGAGAGCCAGCCATGACACACTGATTTTCACCCTCCTAGAGCCTCATCCCTGAGGCAGTGGGCTGCTCTCACAGTCAGACAGCGGTATTACGAAGCGCTGAACGCCAATTTATAAGGAGGCTCAAACCTCCTTCATGTTGTCATCTGCAAATTACAAAAGTTCCCCACGTTTCATCAGAAAAGAGCCAAAAAACTCTCACTTCTTACAAACATTATTTTGTGTCACAGACTGAAAGGCCACAAATGCCAAAGCACACCTTTGAGTCTCTGCCTAAGCAAACCCTGGGGCAGGGTATGAATCCTACACCAGCCCCCGTCCATCTGCCTTACAGATTAAATGGTTACTGCTGGGAACACAGAGCTACAGCCAAGGCCCTCGGCCAGTGTCATTAACTCACCTTTATTTCCTCCCAGTATGGGCCTCCTCGGGTGAACATGAAGTAGTTGTAGAGGTCATCTTTTTGGTGAGAGAAGTAAGGATCTGTATAAATGTTCACCATCCAAGGTCTGCCGTCGCCACGGACACGTAAATACAGGCTGTTGAAGTTTGACCAGTCATAATACTTCTTCCTAGCAAAAGATCCCTACAAATTATTAATAAATAGAATTATTCCTCCTTAATATCGGGAAACTTCCGTTATGAAGAACAGAGCACTACTGCTTTGATCACTGCCCTCATTATTATAGAACCATAGAATGGTTTGGATTGGAAGGGACCTTAAAGATCATCCAGTTCCAACCCCCCTGCCATCAGCAGGGACACCTTCCACTAGACCAGGTTGCTCAAAGCCTCATCCAACCTGGCCTTGAACACTTCCAGGGAGGAGCATCCACAACTTCCTTGGGCAACCTAATGTCAAATAATATCTACTGCAATACAGTGAGAACTGTGTTACTCTCTTACTAGCTGCTGATCTCACTGGATTTCCCTGAACGCTGTGTTGGAGCCCACAACTTGCAGTATCACCAGCCTGAGGACTCACACTTTAATTATAAATCACAACATTCTAACTATCAGAAACCAGATCTCCTTCCCAGGACCAAATTCCCTACCAGGCAAGTACACAAACACTAGTGATGGATCAGTGGTTATGTAGTTCATTAAGTTTAATAGTCTCTGGTCAGTAATAGATTATTCAGAGGTGATTACAAGAAACTGAACATGTGGGATAATTTATCCCTTGTGATAACTTCCCTTATTGAAGGCTGACACAAGCATTGGAAACACTTAATGTTTTCCAACACTTTTTGTCACTTAATTGTACATAAAGATATGGATTGCAAGCATGTCAACTGCCTTTTTTCCTTAAAAGCCCCAGTGTTGTGATTTGCACATGGGCAGATCCAAGAGTCTTTTCAGAGAGGTGCACTGAGGCCACTTGGAGCAATGGGGAGTCAAGGGGCCAGAATTGCCTAAACCAAGTCAAAATCAGCCCCAAGAAGTCAGAAGTTCCCCCTTTATCTTACAGCAGTACTACACTTACCTATCAGTTGTCTTTCTACCAACTCATCTTACAGGTAACAGGATGAGTATATCACTGATACATTAATACCAGGGCTGCGGCTACTTGATTTTCTGGTTTTGCCAGTTTTGAGCCTTTTTACTTAAAGAAAAGCCTTTGTATTTATGTTTTCACCCTCTGATTTCAAACTGTATTATATAAAGACTGACTGATACACCCCACTTCTGCAGAATTAGGATGTGCAAGTTCGAGTCACACTTGCACAAGCTGGCAGCAGGCCTGGGAATTTAACACAGGTGAGATTGAACTTGCTGTTCCGCTCCCCTGACCCAGTGTCACCATCCTCACCTGCCTCTCATTTGCCCATTGATTTTGCTTACTCATATTCTCTGCTCTCCAACTTTCTGGCCCAGAAAACCTTTGGCCTGAGTACTTGTGCCAACTGACAAACAACACAACGGATAATAATTAAGCATTTTATACACCGAGTCAAAATGTTCCTTTGCTTTTAAAGGTGCTTAAAAATAAGGCATGAAACAAGCAATATCAATAATAAGCACATCCATTTCTGGTTCTGTTTTGCTCAGTACTGAGCTATTAAAGATTTGTCTCCTACTTTTTCTGATATACTATATATAGTATATCAGAAATATATAATATATATTATTTTCTGTTCCTGTGACAAAATATATGAGCTCATTCACCTAAACCAAGTTTGATGAATAGGCCAGGTTAAAGCACAGAAAATTTGTCTTTATGACACATTCAATTGACTCCAAATTTAGAGAGACACCTATTTTAATCATACTAATTTGGGATATAAGGGTTCATGACAGAACCTCTGTTTGCAAGAGGGCTGCAGACAGGGCTGTCTTAATGAGTGGATATCCTACTGTACATAAGCAAATGATCAAACATATATTATTCCCTGTCTAAGAAAGGAAAACAAAACGCAAGAAACGGTTTAAGTTCTTTCCAGGTCAAAGGATACAG